ATACTGGTCACGAAAATTGTTACTTTAGACTGGGTCAGTGGGGTACCTGCTCTATAGACTCCAAAATCCCTCATCTTCTAAGAGGTGAGAGACTTTTCTCCCCAAACCTCCCCCACCCCCAGCAGGAAGAGCCCACTTCTGTGACATCCCACTTTCAGGGACATGGCCAGGCCCCGGGACTCCCACCTGGCATTCCGCACAGGGACCAGGGCAGTGTGCATCATAGCATCATTTGGAAACAAAGGCCGTGGGTACCGTTTGTAACAACCCAGCTTTGTGGACATTTCTTTTGAAAAATCTGCCAGAGGGTGCATACGCTCAGCAGAGACACACAGAGAGGGAGAAAGAGAGAGTGAGAACGCACCCCCTCACTCCCCGTAGGAAGATGGCCACACCGCAATCCCTCCTCCTTCATTCTCCTTGGGATTTGGGTCACACATATACATGTGCCAGGCATGTTTTCCAAGCCACCAGGTCCAGATATTGAACCTCACAGTCAGCCATGTAGGATCCAGTCACCACCATGCCACCTGCTGGCCCCCTAACATTCTAGGTCTGCAGACCCTTGTTCTGCTGTTAGGGAGAGATCATAGCTGAGCCCCTGAGGGGTAAATAAAAAATTTAGAAACAACTTTGGACTGTGCTTACTCATTGTCCAAGAATATTAGACAAGGATGAACCATCTAACAAACCATTGTCATGTGGGGGCTTGACCACTAAACTAGTGACCCACTTCCTCTGGGCAAATACAAAGAATTTTTTAATATGTGTGAGGAAAGCTCACCAGTAGATTAACATGTATTTGGATATTGAACCTTCCTCACAACTCAGCTTTTACATTTTTACTTAAATGGTCTCCCCACCTCAAACTTTCAGCCCTAGCCACTGTCTTCTTTATTTACTTGAAGGGCATCAGGTAAATAAAGAATTGGCATTGAGTCCAGGCCAATTCAATGCCAATTCGAGCATTTTCCTAAACTCTCTACGACCAAATATTACCCTTCCTAATTTCCAATGGCCAAGACATACTTACACTGGTGGAGCAACCCCACATGTCACCTCCATGTTTCTCTCTTACTCATTTATTTCGGTATGTCCAACGCAGGAACAGAGCTAGCCATCCCCTCCTAGAAGGAGCTGGGCTGTCCCAAGCTTACAGAAAAATCAAGTGGGCAGGAAGGCGCAACAGACTTTATTTTTTATGTTGTCATAAGAGGCTATGTTTTAAGATGTGATTTCTCAAGAGGAAAGTAATTCAGGCAAAACTATGCTTTAATGTCGGTTCCTTGGTCTAGAAGGATCTGTGTGGGGTTTACGGGCCCTGGCGTTACCCTCTGAGGAGAAGGCTGGCAGGCGTGTCACAGAGGAAGTGCAGAGAAGAACAGCATGCTGGGTTATGAGAAGAGATCTCACCCCCTACGCCATGTGCACAGGAGCATGACCGAACCCTCAGCATGACTGGAACTACTTCATTCATCACAGGGCACGGCTCTCACAGTGAGGAAGGGTTGACAAGCATCTCAGATACACACCACGAGCTTTGCCCTCCCCAGCTAGTTCAAGCTCAAATGCCATTCACAGGGCATTTTGAACAGCTGCCCTTCCCCTCAAAAAAGGTTTGAGGAAGTCAGTGCACAAACTAAGGTAAGGCCTTAAAGCAGGGGGAAACATGTGGTGGCAACAGCTAGGGTTTTGCAGCTGCCCTAGAAGCCTGGGTGAATAGGCAAGTGGGCCAACGGCAAGGCAAGACAGGAGAGACATCTGTCGAAGTCAGTGCCCACAGCTGAGTCTCTGAGGAAGAGAAATGAGCCCAGATCTCTGCACCCTGGTGCCCACATAGCACCCTTAGAAGTCATAGGGAGATACAAAGATGGTGACCTTGGATACATGGTTGGCCTGGAAGGAGCGGTCCAAGTACTCCGACATGTCAACGTCCACCTCCAGCGTCTGAGGCCCCTCCAGAGTCTGGACGAGAATCAGCTCCCCTGTCTGCCGGTCTGAGCGCTGCATCACAAAGTGGCCACGGCTGTTCCCACCCACAATCCCAAACCGCAGGCTGTTGGGCCCAGGTCGGCTGGGAGCTGAGGCCGTGGCCAT